TTTCTTTCTTTCTTTCTTTCTTTCTTTCTTTCTTTCTTTCTTTCTTTCTTTCTTTCTTTCTTTCTTCTTTATGAGAGAGAGACAGAGACAGAGACAGAGCACAAGTGGCAGGGAGGAGCAGAGGGAGAGGAAGAAGCAAGCTTCCTGCTGAGCAGGGAGCCCAATGTGGGACTTGATCCCAGGATCCTGAGATCATGACCTGAGCCCAAGGCAGATGCTTAACCAACTGAACCACCCAGGCACTCCCCCATTGTCATTTTTATTTTCATTAATTTTTTTTTTAAAGATTTTATTTATTTATTTGAGACAGAGAGAATGAGAGACAGAGAGCATGAGAGGGAGGAGGATCAGAGGGAGAAGCAGACTCCCTGCCGAGCAGGGAGTCCCATGTGGAACTCGATCCCGGGACTCCAGGATCATGACCTGAGCCGAAGGCAGTCGCTTAACCGACTGAGCCACCCAGGCACCCTTCATTAATTTTTTTTACTATTGTTGGTTGACCTAGATATTTAAGTTTTTCATAGTTCAATAAATTATTCTATTATTTCTTGGTTTGTAGCTTTGGTGTTTTGAAAGTTCTTCAATCAGATACTTAAATATTTACCTATTTTTCTAGTATGTTGATTTCATTGAAAAATTTAACCACCTTGGATTTATTGTGGTATATGGATGAGATAAGGGTCTTTTTTTTCCCCGAAGTAGCTAAATATTATTTCTGCATGGTGTGATTCTGTTATGCATGTTTGATTTTGCTGACAATTTAGGTCATTTGTTAACATGATGGAAAATAACACATCCATATAGCTTTACATGTGTCTGCCTCTAAAGGATATTAAAATACTTATTAATGATTTGAAGAAAGTATATTCTATAGTCTTTGAGGGGCAAAAAAATAAGGCCACTTAAACACTATTCCTCTCTGACATAATTGCTATTTCTACTTCTCATAGCAAAGGGATTAGCATCCCAGATGCCATTGTGAGAAACCTCTAGCAAGTGCACTTGTGTTGTGAGCATTCTAACACCTTCAAACATGACCTCTTTGTCCATCAGTTCACTGTTAGTATAAAGATACTCAAGATACTTGTAAAGATACAAGATGAGAGTATGCACCTATATTTTCTCCCTAGTTTAGGGCTTTATTCTTTTTTGTGCTTTCCTTTTTAATTGAATTATAATTGACATACAATGTTATATTAGTTTCAGGTGTACAACACAGTGATCTGATATTTTTGTACATTACAAAATGATCACCTTGATAGGTCTAGTTACTATCTGTCATGGATAAAGCTATTACAATATTATTGACTAGAGTCTCTATGCTGTGTATTACATCCTCATGACTTGTTTACTTTATAACTGGAAATTTGTACCTCTTAAGCCCCTTCACCCATTTTACCCATCCCCTTGCCCCTCTCTCAGCTGGCAACCACCAGTCTGATCTGTGTGAGAGTATACACATATCTTTAAGACCTAAGTTACTCCATGAGTAACTTCCTTATTGAAATCAAGATTTGTAAGCAAGAATGCTTAAGGTCATTTCTCCTAACTTGTTTTAAGAACAGCATATATATATATCTATTAAATTCTTTTTTATTTTATGCATTTTCTTCTTAGCTTTATAAATGTGTCCATATAATTCTAGGAACATATAATGAACTGTATTCTTGTAGTAGGTTAAATATCCGTATCTGTGTTTCTATTTTGTCATAGTAGACCAGTCCTGCAATAAACGCATTTATTCATTTATATCTATGTGTGTCTGTCTGTCTGCCTCTGTCTACCTACTGAGATTGAAAACAGCCAAATCTAGTAAGAGTAATAAGGAAATCCTAGTACAGTGTCTCACAGAGAACAGTGTGTAATTAAGCATTTGTTATTTATGGATAATCATCAAGATTATGCTCACAAAATCAGTATTTCCGTATGTGTTCATTGTCTTAGATGCAAAGAATGTTGATGACTTTCAGAGTGATTTGGGGTCATTATTAATCTGATGAGATAGTCTTCAACTGAATTTTTTTCTCTGCTGTTTTTACTCTCATTTGTAAGCTTTTGTTAGTTTACTCACTAATAAATGAAACAATTCACTAAAGTTTGAATTCTCTCTTTTTTATTGTTTTATATCTCTTCTGCAATGGGACCTCTACCAACTCAATATTTATAAAAGAGAAAAACAACAAAAAGATAATTCATGAGCTATACTAGATATATACATCATTCCATCTAAAAACCTGATATAAAGAATGACATAGAAAAGCAAAAATAATTGTTAAATTAGGAAGCAAATTCGAGAGATCTGGAGTCCCACTGTAGTTCAACTTTTTTGTTGTTGTTTAGAGCCAGAATCCTATCTGTGGTCTAAGATTGACTTTGTGATGGGGAAAGGAGCAAAGGGTTGAGTTTCTAAGTACTTTAAAACTCCATGCTAAATTTTGATTATATCTAATTATTTACATTTTCAGGGGAGGTAGAAAGAAGCTTCATTGCTTTACTTACATATTCATAGGAATCTGTGACCACAAAATGGTGAAGGACCACTACATATAGAGTAACCAGAGTTATAAGAAATAGAAATTTCCTCTTCTGAGTCATGTAAAAAAATTAAATTTAAAGAAGATGTTTATTTTCCTTTCGTTTTCCCTAATTCTGCCTTTGATGAATTTAATGTTCTTAGAGTTATTTTCTAAAACATACAGAAATGAACGATTTAGAAAATACCTTGGACTCACAAATCAGCAAAAGAATGCCATAAATGTTCAGCACTATATTTATGAAAGCAAGGGTAGGAGTGATGGGGCTGCATAAGACAGAAAATGGTAGGGAGTAGAAGCACCTTTCTACCTTTGAGCCTGTTGCTGGGCCTTTCAGCTGCCATTGTCATTCTGGATGATTGGAAGAAGGTCAGCAGCCAAACATCATGGAAAAATCACAAAATCCTTGCAGGATGTTCAAATCATTTACCTAAGTTGGCAAGGGAATAGGGCACACAGCAGGAGGGTGAGTCAAAGAAACATATGAGTTGCTTTCTCAGATGATCCAATGCCTTGTCCACATATCTTCTCTCAGCAGCTGCTTTTATCGGCTACTTCAGAGAAATGTGGAAAGCCTCCATAATGCACCTCGTGAGTTCTGCCAAATAAATGAAATTCTGGCAGAAGCAGTAGGGGAAACATGCTCCCCAGTTGGCATTCAGCTTAGGGATAAAGTTTGATGTCATCATATATCTTCTGTCACTTCTTTGCCTTCTCCATAGCAAGACTTAGAGATTTATATTTAAGTTCTTAAGTTCAAGAATCCATTTTAACCTAAAAAATACATGGGTCATTAAGTTAAGTATTTTTCAGGGCTCTATTGTGAAATTTGTTTTTTTAAATTGCTCAATTTTTTTCCAGAAAATATTTTCAAAAACTGTGTGTCCTGAGCAGATATATTTTGTAGATACCTTTCTGCAAAAAATTTTTTATACCTTTTATACCTTAAGCAGATATATGTTTCAAATTAAACTCATATCCCTCTTTTTTTGGCTCTCATGATGACTTTTGATAACTTTAGAATTAAAGTCCTTTCAATGTGACTCATGTGAAATGAGAGGATCATAGGACAGGTGTAACTGTTTCAGGCTTTCTTAATATCTGGCAAATATATAGTAATATACACAGATTACTTTTGCAAAGAAAGTATTTTCTATTTATACAATGCTTATGGGAGCAGAGCGCAAGTATTATTTGGATCTATTACATTTTAATAAATAGGATTCTTTAAATTCTGGGCTCCAGATCAAAAATTCAAACGAAGTCTTTTAGTATGGTTTTAACACAACCTTTATACAAAGGTTCCTGCTTGATCTGTCTTTTTAAACTATGTTTATGTTTATTTAGAAGTTTTGACTGATTCTGTAACATTAGACAACACTAAGACATTGGAATGGGTACAGGCTTTGGTCTCTAATATGATTTCTTATATTTAGTCATGGAGAAGGAAACTAAAGTAAATCACAAGACTACATACTAGACACAAGATTTAAATTCTGGATGTAGATATGGCTTCAGAAAGAACTGACTTCAAGTTAAGGGCACGTTTGACTAAAAGATTATATGATTTTTTATATGATTCTAAGTCCAAATGACTCCATCGTTTTTATAAACCATTCATGGGTGAATTTTCTTCAAAAATTTTGAATTACAGAGTCTCTATTCAAGCTATCTAGTTATAACAAGGGGGGGGGGGGACCATTGGCTTTGCTAATGGGAGGAGGAAAAGTGGAAGCAATAACCAGAAGCAACATCTTCCCATATAAAAGATACCATTTTTATCATAGAGAACACAAATGATAGCAATGTTGGGCCAGGATAATATTAAATACAATTGTCGGGCGCCTGGGTGGCTCAGTTGGTTAAGCGACTGCCTTCGGCTCAGGTCATGATCCTGGAGTCCTCGGATCGAGTCCCTCATCGGGCTCCCTGCTCGGCAGGGGGTCTGCTTCTCCCTCTGCCCTCTTCCTTCTCGTGCTCTCTGTCTCTCATTCTCTCTCTCTCAAATAAATAAATAAAATCTTAAAAAAAAAAAAAATAAATACAATTGTCATCTTAGCTGTATATTTGCCTTCAAGAGTAAGAAAATGAATTTCGCAATATCTCATCTCAAGCTGCTCTTAGGTTATTACATTTGAGGCAAAATAATATTTCAAATAAAGCACTTAAGATTTTTGAATGTACATGGGCCAGAAACGATTTAATATTTTTTTTAAAAAAGTACATAATAGACAAGAAAGGGATAAAGTTATTTTACTGGTTCAACTAAACTGAATAAAATGGAAACAGACACAAATCCCTAAGAAATTATTCAGTATACTTTAATCGCAATTATAAAGAATTCCACAAAATAAATTGAATTTAAGCACAGGTTTTACAAGCTTATGGATTATTATTTGAGTTAAGCATTAAGAATAAAAATCAAAACTTCGCTCTATAGATTGAATTTGCAGCTACACTGCCTTGCTAGGATTGACATAAATGTGCTTCTTAAAAATTGTTTTACTGGATTATGTCCGAAGCAGGGCAGTGTTCCTGGAGGAAGGAGAAGTTCCTTCCCGGTCCCATCAGAATGAAGCTCTCACTATTCTGCCATTCAGAGGCTGGGGTGGCCGGTTGTTGTGCTGAATGGGGACAGCTCTGTCACCTTCAACAGTCGACAGAAGGCTTCGGAACTGTGCCAGCTGGGAGGGAGGATGAAATATTTAAAGAATCAAAGGCTATTAAAGTTGCACAAAACACTTTATTTCCAGTATTGTTAATGCACTGATATTTAGAAAACTAAGTTGCTGATTGCAACAGTCTTACCAATGGGAAGGGAGGAAGTAAAAAAATCCCATCACATTTATTTGAACTAGGTATTTGGTTTAGATTATTAATGATGGGCTGGATTAGAACGCCAACCTTCTCAGAAGGTCAACTGGGCTACCTTGGGTGAGTGACATGCTGCTTGTTGCCTCAGTTTCCATACAGTAAAATTACAGTAACATTGACTATATTCACTGTGTTGTGCCTTTTATCCCTGTGACTTATTCATTCCATAACTGTACCTCCCACTCCCCTTCATCTAGCATGCCCATCCCCCCACCCCTTCCCATCTGGCAACTGTCATTTTTTTCTCAGCATTTATGTCTTATTCTACTAAAAATCTAGCCTATTTGGAGGGACTTAAGCTATGGCCGAAAGCTTATTTTGGGAAGCCACAATGTGTGATAATTTATCAGCTCTCAGAATAATCACTTTCCCACCCCAAAATATATTCCTACCTTTTACTGAAAACGCCTCCCACCTTACAAAAAAATCCTGTCATTTAATGTAGACAGATTTTTTTTTTTTTTAAAGATTTTTTATTTATTTGACAGAGAGAGATACAGCGAGAGAGGGAACACAAGCAGGGGGAGTGGGAGAGGGAGAAGCAGGCCTCCCGCGGAGCAGGGAGCCCGATGCGGGGCTCGATCCCAGGACCCTGGGATCATGACCTGAGCCGAAGGCAGACGCTTAACGACTGAGCCACCCAGGCGCCCCTGTAGACAGATTTTTAAGAGTTCCACAAACACATCATCTGGCCTATAAAACTACGGAGATGTGAAAAAAAAAATCACTGACTCCACCAAAAGTGAAAATAATGATTGCACCTGAAAAAAATTGGTGTGCCCTCAGTATTTCAATACTAAGTATAGATTTAATATGGTAAAATTTTATATGGATAATGTAGTATGAAGCAGACTCCTTAAATAGCTGATAGGAAAAATATTAAACACTATCAGCTATTTACATTGGGTTGTGAAGATTAAATGGGTTAGTACATATAAGTTCTCAGAATGGTACTCAGCATATAGCATATGCTCAGTAAGCATCTGTTACCAGTAGGCTACGTACATTGCCTGTCTTATAGATTTGTTATGAGAATTGGCTGACAAAACCTATGTAAGGCACCTAATAAAGGGAGTTGCTCAATCAATGGTAGTTATTATTATCATAATTATAAACAATAATTAAAAACATATCTTGTTGGATAGCTAATAACTAAAGCTTCAAAAAGAACAAAAAACCTTTGTCAACTCTCAGGGTATCTCAGTTGCGAACCATACTTCCCCAAAGTCTTAGTAGAACTTCAGTGACAATCTTTTCTTTGTTTCTGAAATTTTAGGAAGACACTTAACACGGTTGGATTTTTCCTTAATAAAGTGGAAAAGATAGCAAGAGTTCAGAATTTCATAGTTTTTTTACTATATAAAGTAAAAAGCAGTATTATAATAAACATTTCTTTTTGATTATTCAATAGACCTATGTCAGAAATGAATCTTTTTCAGTAGGAATGGAAAACAAACTCCTTAAAAATCTATTTGAGGGCGCCTGGGTGGCTCAGTTGGTTAAGCCACTGCCTTCGGCTCAGGTCATGATCCCGGAGTCCCTGGATCGAGTCCCGCATCGGGCTCCCTGCTCGGCAGGGAGCCTGCTTCTCCCTCTGACCCTCCCCCCTCTCATGTGCTCTCTCTCTCTCTCATTCTCTCTGTCTCAAATAAATAAATAAAATCTTTAAAAAAAATCTATTTGAAATCATAACGTCCCCCATTAATACTATGAATTGACATGATATTACTGCTTTGCACTCCCAATTCCCACTCTTTCATCTTTGATACTCTACCTGTTCTGGGCTGATACTGATGGGGTCCTTACAGATGATCCAGGTTACACTCTCATAAAGGGGAGGATGAGTCAGAGAGCCAGAGTAGGTCCAGTAATCCAGGGATGAAGGAAGGAGAGTAGATGGGTCAAAATTTGTGAATGGGGCTCGTTTGTTCTGTAATATATCATTATACCATGATTTAAAATACTGATGTCATATACATATATGACATCTATGTTATATTATCTTGGCATATATATTGTCTTGATATTTTAGCTGAGAATTTAATTAACTTTTCTACTATATAGTATACACTGGTGTGTTTGTAGATAAAGACAATAAAGGTAATAGAAGACTGAAAATTTGCTACCCTCACATTTTGGCCAAATAATTTTCTTCCTTCCTCATTTGGTGGAATATAAGCAAAGGTTAAACAATTTTTAAATAATCTATCCTCTCTAAAAGATATTTCACTTCCAGAATAAAACCTTTATTGTTTCTTTAGGAATGAGGCCAGATACTGTTCCAGTGGCAAAACTATTATTGACATGCTTATTAGTTACGTTTTAGCCTTCTTTTATTTACTCACGTTCTTTTTGGATTGTTTATGAGTGGCATATTAATGGTATCTCAAAATAAGACCCTTAACTCCTGCATTTTTGTACTACTAAAGAAACAGAGGTAATTTTCTTTATGAAATGGAAAAAAAATCACATTTTAGTTGGATATACATTTTAAAGAAAATTTGAATGGCTATGGAACCTGTTCTTCTCTAGGCTAGTTCTTCTCATGCTGCTGAAGTAGGAAAAAAAAAAAAACTGAGAAAAAGAAAAGAACAAAACAAAACAAATACCTGAGTCAGAGACTTTCTCAGAAGCAAGCAATATCTAAATACTACCTTGATTTTCAGATTGGTAGCTTTTGCTCTAGCCTTCCTACTCCCCGCTTCAAATACATAATTAAATGATTTCAGTAGTTCTGTGGACTCTTGTTCTCTGACTGAAACCAATGTCTTAAGGCTACTGACCTTGGTTTTAACTGCCTTTAGGGCATCAAGTACTTTCTGCAGTCTTGGGTTGGCCTGATCAATCTGGAGATTAAAAACAATAAAACGTGAGTTAGAAATTGTTATAAAGTCAAACTATGTTTAGCTATTTTTTTTTCAATTAAAAACAGTAAACTGAAGAAAGGTAAGGTATTTTCTCTCTGCTTTAGGAGAGGGAATTTTGGTGGGCATTTGTCCTGGTGGGCGCTTGTCCTCTATAAATTGTTCCTAATGGGTAACCACTGTCAACCTAAAAACAAGAAACCAGCTCAAGAGGCAAAGCGTTTATTTGAGATCAAAGAATTGCAATTCGGGGTACACAGATTGGGGTAGAAACCCAAACACCATTCTAATTACAGGACATAGACTCAGGGTTTTTATAGAAGAAAAGGAAGATTACATAAGTGGTTTTTGAGAAGAGTTCATTGGTGCTGACAAGCAGGAAGGGATTCCTACTTTACTGATGGGTCAGGTGAAGTGGTCACTATGCAGAAGTTCACTTTTATCAGATCTCTCAAATATGATACTCTTGTTCTTGCTGACTTCTCGGAATGTTGGTGGTTTGGCCCAGTTCAAAGGTTCCAAAAGCAGGGTGTGCAAGGCAGTTCCCCCAAAATGGCTACTATGGCTCCATTTTAAAATGGTTCTGTGTGTGTCCTTTTTCTCAGCACAGAGAAAGTGGCAAACAAAAAGCTCGGCTTTAATTTAATATGGGCAAGGTGCTCAAGGACATACAAGTCAAAATCCAAGAACGTAGCAAACTTGTGACATAAAATACAGCCTTTTACTTTTGGCCTGTTTTATTAGTTATAATTGGTACAGTGTATGGTGTGTTGTAAGTTTTCAATAAAGGTTAACTAGAATTACTATAATTCCAAAAGTTAGGGACCTGAGTGTGATATTTATAATAAGAAACATGTTTATGACACAGAGCTCCTGGAAGCCTTGGACTTTCCTAAGTGAAGATGACGACAAGGGTGTCTTTTGTTATGTTAATTAGGGGACTTTTGGACTGAATCTAAGAATGAGGGTTGGTTGCCTGGAGAACCAACCATGTGGTTAGAGGGTTGGAACTTTCAGTTCTACCTTCAGACCTCTGGGGACAGGAGAGGAGACAGGGGCTAGAGCTTGAATCAATGGCCAATGGCCGATGATTTAATCAATCATGCGTAAATAATGAAGTCTCCATAAAAACCCAAAAGGACTGGGTATAGAGAGTTTCCAGATTGGTGGATTCAGGGAGATACAGGGAAAACAGCGTGTCTCCACAGGGCAAGGAAGTTCTTTGCCTTTGCCCATACCTTGCCCTATGTGTCTTTTCCATCTGTCTAGCCCTGAGTTATATCCTTGTATAATTAACTGGTAAGTAGAATGTTTCTCTGGGTTCTGTGAGCTGTGCTAGCAAATTAATCAAACCTCTTCAAACCCAAGGAAGAGGTCAGGGGAACCTCTGATTTAGAGTTAGTCAGGGAGAAGCCTAGCTAACAACCTGGGCTTGAGACTGACATCTGAAGTAGGGTGGGGAATTGTAATCTTGCAAGTCTGAACCCTTAGCCTGTGGAACCTGATGCTCTCTCTGCATAAACAGTGTCAGAATTGAGGTGAATTCCTGGACACCCTGCTTGTGTTTAAGAGTTGCTTGTTAGAAGTGGCGGGGGGCGGGTCACTGCACATTGGAATTTTGTGGGTAGAACCCAAAAGACGCAAGTATACCCAATTTAATAATAACTTCCCTATAGAACTTTTCAGGGACACTCATAGAGGATTTAAGCAACATCTGCCATTATAAACATTAACTGAACTTTTTTCATGGAACAACAATCTTCTTAATATGTTTCCCTGATGATACATTAAATTGATAAATTCCTGAACCTATGAAGTAGGAAGTTTAGAGGAAAAGCAATTTGGAAGATCTGGAAAATAGAAATTCCCTCCCCCTCCAACACCTTCCCATTCTATCCCTACCTGAAACTTAATTCTCTCTTAAAAAGGGAAAAGCCTAGAGAAATCAGCAGCAAAGTACTAGGGAACTGTTTGCTCGCCTGTAGCCATTAATAGAATGGAAAATTTTCAAAAAGAAAGACTCAAATATCTTTTTGCCTTATTTTATACTATTTTGCTGTTTGATTGGTAAGAAGTAGTGTTAGCCCAGCTCTGTAACTCTCTGTAACTCACCTTCATCAAAACACCGATAATTGCCAAACCATCAGCCTGTGGGACAGCTTCAGCAAAGCTGGAGTACTTCGCAGAATTCCAGTGAACCAGGTGAAGCTGAAAATGATAATGTGGTCAATTAGTTATTTATACCATTGTGAAGACAAAAAGCTATACGTTAACTTGTTAATATTAGAAGATGTATCTTGGCTTAGGTAACATTTATATGAACCTTTATCCAGTGGATAAGAAAGACTATGTTCTCACTCTTAAGAAGGATTATGTACATTGGGTAGAGCAGGCCATTTGCAATTTCCACGGAACCAGTGAGTAAAATTTCTTTTCCCAAAATATCACAACTATTTAATATTACTCCTTTTTAAAAATTGCTTTGGTATGAAAAGATCAGGAATTCCAACTAACTAGTTTTCAACAAAACTGAAATAACTTCTGTCAGGTGAGGTCCTTTTTAGTAACTTTATAGGAAGGGGTTCCTGGACAGTCTAGGAGTCTTGGCCAAGAACACATTTTCTCAAGCACGTCTAGGCATCTGTCAAATCACTATGTCTAGCCTAATCTCCCTATGGAACTCTAGATCTGAATATCCAATATGTATGTAAGTCATGTTAATATCTTCTTGATATCCCCACATGGATGTCTGTGAAAGTTTACTTAATCTCTTTTGCTTGCTCTCTCTCACTTTTCCTTCTCTCTCTTCCTCCTCCCTTCGCCCCAGCTCCTGCTCTCCCCCCAATCCTCCCTCCTGTCCTCAATTGCATGTTGAATTTTGTGGCTAAGTGCCTCTCATCTCTAGCCTGGATTGTATTTATTTTTCTTAAATCAGATGAGGAGATCACTGACTTAGATTTCTTAGATGCAACAAGATCTGCCTCTAAAAAGATAGTATTAATTTAGGCTCCCAGCCCATTTGACTTTAGTCTACTTTCAATTTTTTGAGGGAGAAATGGGAAGAAACATTTAATGGGTTTCTGTAGTATTAAAAGTTATTAGCCAAGCTTTACAATGTAACATAAAGCTGATTATATTTGTGTAAAATTCCTAAATCTTCTATTAAAATAAAAAATGCACATACCCTGTAACCTAGCAGTCCCTCTTATAAAAACATCTGCCCCACTTATGTGCTTTCACTAGTGCATAAGGTGTATGTACAGATGTACTTGTTGAAGAACATTTTGGTAAAAGTAAAAAACCAATGGAACAAAAAGCAAAGGACATTGTAATTGTCCATCAGTGGGGGCCAGTTAAATAAATTCTGATATATTCATACATTGAAATAAAATTAAAAGAATGAGAATTAAAAGAATGAGGTAGAATTGATGTTAAGGTAACAGTTTTTGAGCCGTTTTGAAGACAAAGATGATTCTTGGGCTCAAGAGCTCAACCCCAAGTTGCCTTTTTCACATGAAAAATTTCCTTCTATTATCCCACTTGGTATGTATGTGTTTGATTTTAATGGGGCCTGGGAGTTCCTTATAGGGATGAGAATGCTCATTCCTTTGGAGCCATTATAAGGGTGACTTATGTAATAAAGCAGCTGCTTCTGAAAATAATTCTCAGTGTAGTTATCTCTCGCTTACTGAGTTACATTACCTCTGCAGAATATTTGACTCCGTCCACTGTGTGTACAGAACCATAGTCATTTGTGCTGCCCCAGTGAAAATGGAACTGATAGAGCCTATAGCTTTCAGAAAGAGGACCACCTTTCAGCACTAGAAGAAAAAAGGAACTATTATTAGTTTCATGATCGTAAGCTCCTGCTTATCTTTGCATTTAACATAAGCCAACACTAAATTGGATTAAGTAGAACTGAAAACAAACTCTAGTGCCAAAGTTTTTTTCTTGTTGGATTTCCGCCCCCACATCCATGATGATGGTATTCATTGTATGGTGTGTCTCTGACCACTGCACTGAGTGATATACAGTTCTTAGCACATGACCTGTAATTTTATCCTTTTCTTTTTTTAAGTGGACTCCATGTCCACTGTGGAGCCCAACATGGGGCTTGAACTCACAACCCTGAGATCAAGACCTGAGCCGAAATCAAGAGTCAAATGCTTAACCGACTGTGCCACCCAGGAGCCCCTAATTTTACCTTTTTCTGCTGCCAAGGAAGTATATCGGAAGGTGAGTGAATTCTAGTTTTATAGGGCTTTCCTTGAATCTGCTTTAATGTGCAAGTTTATTCATTCATTCTTTCAACAAAGACTATATAGACAGTATGCATTAAGATCTTCAGTAATTTATTTTGAGTAACAAATTACACATCACATACTTTGTAACTAGTCAAGACACAATGAGTATCTTGACACCTTTGTTGAGAATGCCTGTCCAGGGACCAAGAGAAAGTGTCAGGGGGGCAATAGGGTCACTTTAAAAATTTTAACATTGAACGACTATGTCATTTCCAAGAGTCTATGTAATCATATGATTAACTAAACACACATAATACCAGATCTAATCTAGTATTAACAATGGACATAGCCCCAAAGTGCCGAAAATTTAGGCTCAGAACCTTGTAGCAAAGTGCCAAAACAAGTTTTGCCTTTTGTCAGTAGAGCTATCTTATGAAATTGTCATTTAATAAATTATTTAAGAAACATTTATGAAAATCTTACCATGTAGCAGGAAATGTGGCTAAGTTCTGGGGTATGAAGAATTCAGTCACTACAGTCTAGTAGGGGAAGGGGAGATAGATAAGTATACTTATGCACAGAAAAAATCTTCCAAGATTTATGTAAGACTCATTTTCTTACTGGTACCCAAGTACTTTACAATGATAGAGTCATTTTTCTGGACACAAAAAATGTATTCTTCACTCCATTTCTCTTTCCCACTGTGTTCCTCCATCCTCATTCCAATTAGAAAATATTTGCCTTTTCAGTTTCTATATTCACTATGATGGCTCATTAGACCTTCTTGGAAAAAATACTGTTTATTCAGAGAGTGTGAAGTGAGTATACAGATATTAGAGGGACGCCTGGGTGGCTCAGTTGGTTAAACGTCTGCCCTCGGCTCAGGTCATGATCCCAGAGTCCTGGGACTGAGTCCTGCATGGGGCTCCTTGATCAGCAGGGAGTCTGCTTCTCCCTCTGCCTGCCGCTCCCCCTGCTTGTGCTCTCTCTCTCTGGTAAATAAATAAATTAATTAAATATTTTTAAAAAAAGATATTAGAGACCAGAAGAGATAGGATGGCGTCATAGATGAGAAGGGTTGAAAAAAGACGGAGCTGGGGGTTCCAAAAATTATCTTTACCACATGGGGGCTTTCTAGAAGTCCAAGATGCTTCACCAGATTGCAGCAAATTTATACACGTGCACTATACATGTGCACAAAAGACTGAGGATGGCATTTGTGTCTCTTAAAGTCCTATTGTTTAAATTTTCCTAGTAGAGTCAAAGAAAATAAATCCAAAGGGTCTTTTGGCTCACCTGATCGGTTATCATTGTCCTCATAGTTTACATGGAAAGAATGCCCCACGTTGATAATTTCTTTGGCTGTGGCTGGATCATAGGAGACACTGACAGGTTTAAGAGAACTGTCATGTTTCATTTCACTGGTTTTAATATCAATGGGAGATTGCTTATTTCCATTTGCAATGGGTACAGCTTGCCCCATTGTTCAGGACCTACCAAGGCAAACACATGCATACAATCAAAACTTCATCAAATGTTTGACTCCCAGTTTTAGGAGTATAACCATCTCTTTGCTTACTAAACTATGATTTAGTTAGGTATTTTAAATGGTATTCTGTTTAACTTAATGAAAATTCAGCATTTGAGAATGCACCTTTTCTATACTATCCTATAAAATAATATATTTGTCAACACAACTATATTTTCTATTAGTACTAGATTTCTTATATATAACATATATATGTTATATACAAATATATATGTACATATATACATATGTTATATACTACAGATATATATATATTAGTACCCTCTCTATATATTATATACTTCATATATATATCTACATATATATTTTAGTACTCTCTCTCTCTCTATATATATAGAAACCCACATATATATATATAGAGAGAGAGAGAGAGAGAGAGAGATTAAGAAAGAGGAAGAGACAGAGAACACATTTTGTAGACAACTGTATCCCAAAGGACAAGTGCTAAGAGTACATGCAAAGTTATTATGATTATTCAAGTCAGGCAATTCAAACCATTAACCTATGACTGTATAGGTACTCTATTTTGTTTCATTTATTTTTTAAATGCTCAATACCCCTTTTATTGGAAAAGGCAATGAGCTATTATTTTGGTCTACATGAGCAAAAGAACTCTTACCGTTTTTGTCATCATATCCCCAGTTGGAACTTGCCATGATCTTCTACTTAGTTTTCTTTTCTACAAAGATAATACCTGGAATAACTGACTGCAAGCCAGCATGCAGTAAACAACAGAAACCGCCACTTGTGGGTTTTTATAGGAACTTCTCTGCCTTTAATAGGCCACTATTTCATCATCTCTGCCTATCAGGATGTATAGATAAGTTAAAAAAAAAAAAGCTGTTGTAAAAAAAGCCCACAAAGGTCAGTTCAGTTCCAATTGTTTTATTTTCTTATATTGTAAGAGAGAAATATCAAAATTGTAGGTTTTATAAAGCCAAGCCCTGTTTCTCTCATGTTAGTAGATGATATGGCTGAATATTATCGTATATAAGTCTTTGGGTTTCCTGAATTTAAAATGGATTTGTGCACTTGATATTTCCAATGTTACCCTTGCTGGAACTTAAGCAATACTACCAACAGTATTTTAGTAAAGAGAATAATTCGTACGTTTACAGGATGATTGTAACTAGTATCATGATGTTAATTTAAAATCAGATAAACTAATTCTTTGTAACGTATGTTATCCATAAGTACATTCCATAGACACACAGAATGAGAATAAAGTCCTTCATTTTAGAGCAATATTGGAATTCATAAGTGGAGACAGTTTTATTAATATTGAAATTGAATAGAGCCCAATATTTATTTTACACATCAAGTTCAGCTCTACTGGAATAGAAACCTTTCTTTTGTATACTTCTTCATGACTTTTAAAGCAATTTCACGACCACCACACACACAAAAATCCTATCGAGTAAGAATTATCATTTTGTAGTTGAGAGATATTGAGGGACTTCTCCACAACTAGTAAGAAGTCAAGAAGCCGAGACTTCATCAGGACCTTGTCCAGTTGCTTTCTTCACTATACCCACCGTGCGAGCTATGAGCTGGGTGATCCCCTAATTCTCCTCTTACACCTACAATTCTCTTAAGCCCAATTTAAGCCTGAACCAAGGTGAGAATTGCCACCTGGTGAGTGATGAGAAGATCTATTGGGCTTTCCACGTAAGCAAAGAAAACCAACCAGGATGTGTCTGACTCTGGCTAGGTCCACATATCCAAGGCTCTAAACATGCTCAAAGAAAATGCAAGCAGAAAAATGTGCTTCCATACTACTGCTTTTTCATACCACGGTAGTCATCGTCTCCTTCCACGTTCTACAGTAGTCTGGGGTGCCTGGGCTCTCTGAAGGACGAGGAAGATTAGGTGCAATTTTTAGCAAGGCTGACTAGAGACACAATGTTTGTTCCTTTTTGGCTAATAATGGCCAACTGCCCCAGATACAGAGTGGACTATGGCTCATGAACTTTGTGGGGAGAGGTCCAAGTTTCCATTCTACGCTCTGGTAGGCAGAAGGAACTATTACTTAAAGGGAACTTTTTTTAAGGTACCATTTATTGACGGCCCAGTATGTCTCAAATGCTGTGCTGAAAACTTTACATGTATTAATTCATTTAATTCCCACAATAACCAAATTAGGCATTGAAATCTGTATTCTGCATAAGAAGAAGGCTTTATACAGGTGAAGACACCTCCTAGGGTTACAAAGCTTGTAACTGGCTGCTTATATCCCATAAGCCTAGAGTTTAAATCTAGACCTAACTCCAGAGCTTATCCTCTTTCTTTACCGTCCACTGTCAATAAATGCCCAATGACCTTCACTTGATTCTATTTTCTGGAGGATTGGATTAGTTGATCTGTTCTGGTCTGGCTCAAGATGACCATTAGCCAGACTTGATTGTTGGGCTTACTTTATTCCAGGCTTAGAGTCTCAGTTTAGCCAAAAGCTCATGGAGTAGAAGGTACACTTTGCTTCGCACTTGCTTCCTAATATTTGCTATTTTGCTAAAGATAACTAAAAACAGAACTACTATATTGATGAACATATTTGAAAAACATATTTGAAAAAGATGACCTCTTTCATTATATGTTTATGTGATGATTCATCACAAGAATATTTTAACATTCATATGGGATGGTAATTCATTTAAAGTTTTTGGCACAAAATTACTTTGAGCCCTAACTATTATGACCTTTTATTTCAATACATACCTGGGTGTGTTTTTGTACAAGCAGAAAACTATATAGAGAAAGGATGTAAAATTTAATGAATACCTATGGTTTGAGTCCTAACACCCCACCCATTTACTTTTATCCCTCTTTTTCTGCCTACAAACTTTGCCTGTTTCAGCTTAATATCCCTACTCAATCCAAGATGTCTCATTTTGCACTCACTTCACTTTCACCTACAGCCTCCCTCTCCCATGTCCTGTTCCAGGGCTGTGATCTTTGGACTGCTTTTGCATACCAAGGAATTCAATCTACTCAATCTCTGCTCTTCTAAACTAACACTTTATTTCCTAAGGCCATCAAATATTGATGAAGACTATTTGTTTTTCCTGATAAAATATTCCAAATGAGTCTAAACATACTTGAGAATGAATAAGAAGCAACAAGGCTGATGGAAAAAATCTATTTTTTAAAAAAGTAATGCAGGGTGCCTGGGTGGCTCAGTTGGTTTAGCGACTGCCTTCAGCTCAGGTCATGATCCTGGAGTCCCGGGATCGAGTCCCGCATCAGGCTCCCTGCTCAGTGGGGAGTCTGCTTCTCCCTCTGATCCTCTTCCCTCTCATGCTCTCTGTCTCTCATTCTTTCTCTCTCAAATAAATAAATAAAATTAAAAAAAAAAAAAGAAAATCCTTTAAAAAAAATAAAAAAAAAAATAAAAAAGTAATGCAAAAGTACATAAATAATTTTGGTAGAGAATTGCTTAACTAATAACATTAAGAAATACCAAGTTATATGTCAATTATATCTTAATAAAGCTGAGAAAAATAAAGATAAAAAAGATTTTAGCACTTTAGAGATTATTAAATGTTGAAAGTATGATGCACAGAAGGTTTAACTTTAATAATTATATTGGTTCAGTTCGAAAATTTGGTAAAAATGTACTAATGGGCCGAGGGGGAGAAAAGAAAGGTTTCCTTTGTTACCTTATGTAATGGAATCAGAGGCCAGATATTACAGAAAAAAATGTAAAGATGAAATGTTGATTATCTTAAGGAGATAGCCATTACCCTAAGGGGATCCACCCTTAAACTCTATGCCACAGTTTTGTCTCTTGACCTTCATAATAAATGAAATTCATGCAACAAACAAACAGAAATATCAAGAATGCTGGGAGATTGACTATTACTGGAAGAAGTGTTTCCCTGCGCACTCATGCTAGGGGGTGGTAGGCTGGCTAGAAAAGGCTACTGTTTATAGAGCAATTTTCTTCTGTCAAGTCTTTAAAATAATGACCTCTTTCAATCCTCACAGGGGTTAAGTAAGTCTCACCTCACTCTTTTTTTTTTTTTAAAGATTTTATTTATTTATGAGAGAAAGAGAGAGAGAGAGAACGAGAAGTGGAAGGGGCAAGGGGAGAGGGACAAGCAGAGAGCCCTGCAGGGCCCGATCCCATGAGGGGCTCTATCCCAGGATCCTGAGATCATGACCTGAGCTGAAAGCAGATGCTTAACCCACTGAGCCACCCAGGGGCCCTCCGCCCCCACCTCACTCTTAAAGAGAAATAACTGAGGCTCACAAAATTCAAGAAGAACCAGGATTTTAACCCCTTTCTGGTTACCTTGAGCGCCTGTGTGTGCTTCCTCTTCTCTATACCATCATGCTTTTTTTTTTTTTTAAAGATTTTATTTATTTATTTGAGACAAAGAGAATGAGAGACAGAGAGCATGAGAGGGAGGAGGGTCAGAGGGAGAAACAGACTCCCCGCCGAGCTGGGAGCCCGATGCGGGACTCGATCCAGGGACTCCAGGATCATGACCTGAGCCGAAGGCAGTCGCTTAACCAACTGAGCCACCCAGGCGCCCTATACCATCATGCTTTTAAGAGGCTGTCTATAAAACATTTGCTTTAAAGTCAGCTAATATTTATTACAATTATTTATTGAGTAACATGAATTAACTTTGCTGAAGATTTTTCAGTGCCCTGAAATGTTTTCCAAAAAAGCGACATTTCCTCAGTGTTTTGCAAAATTTAGAAACCATAATTAGCTGATTTTACACTACATTTAAAAGTCTTAGCATTTCTTATTTGAACTTTTCCCTTCTAGTTTCTTAAATGAACATTTTTCTCTGATTGCTCCTTTAACATTTTTTTTATTCTTATGTTAATCCCCATACATTACATCATTAGTTCTAGATGAAGTGTTCCATGATTCATTGTTTGTGCATAACACCCAGTGCTCCATGCAGAATGTGCCCTCCTCAATACCCACCACCAGGCTAACCCATCCTCCCACCCCCCTCCCCTCTAGAACCCTGTTTGTTTTTCAGAGTCCATCGTCTCTCATGGTTCGTCTACCCCTCTGATTTCCCCAGCTTCATTCTTCCCCTCCCGCTACCTTCTTCTTCTTCTTTTTTTTTTTCTTAACATATATTGCATTATTTGTTTCAGAGGTACAGATCTGAGATTCAACAGTCTTGCACAATTCACAGCGCTTACCAGAGCACATACCCTCCCCAGTGTCTATCACCCAGTCACCCCATCCTTCCCACCCCACCCCCCACTCCAACAACCCTCAGTTTGTTTCCTACAATTAAGAATTCCTCATATCAGTGAGGTCATATGATACATGTCTTTCTCTGATTGACTTATTTCATTCAGCATAACACCCTCCAGTTCCATCCACGTCGTTGCAAATGGCAAGATCTCATTCCTTTTGATGGCTGCATAATATTCCATTGTATATATATACCACCTCTTCTTTATCCATTCATTTGTCGATGGACATCTTGGCTCTTTCCACAGTTTGGCTATTGTGGACATTGCTGCTATAAACATCGGGGTGCACGTACCCCTTCGGATCCTTACATTTGTAACTTTGGGGTAAATACCCAGTAGTGCAATTGCTGGATCATATGGTAGCTCTATTTTCAACTTTTTGAGGAACCTCCATACTGTTTTCCAGAGTGGTTGCACCAGCTTGCAT